CGGCCCACCTGTGCTCTATAAAAAAAAAATTTTCTCAAAACAATTAACATCAAGAGTCTGGAACACAACATTTTCTTTAATGTCCTGCCTTGGTGGACAGGGATTGGATTTTGTTTCAGATGGGGAATCTGAGGACTGAAACATGTTTGGTGAAACAAGAGGTGTTTTATTGAACTTAAAAAGGAACTGGAAATTAAGATTGTGAGGGATCGAAACAAGAAGGTTAGACCAGGGACAGATATGGGCTAACAGGAGGAGTGACGTTAATGACCGGACTAGCGATGACGAGACAAACAGGATCTGTTCTGGCCTGAATATAAGACGACACCATTTTTGTAAGAGGACCCTCCCCACACTTTTTGGCAACTATTTTTAGAAAAAAAGTTTTTGGAATATCGAATATTACCTTTATAAAAAAGAACATGTAAATCAACCAGTAACCACACATCACGTTACAAGAAGTATATTAAACCGCAAACATTACAAAAAACAAATTGGCGAGTGGGTAGTAGATAGTGAATATTATGATATCCACAACACTTGAGGGTGCAGAATGTTTTCGATGCTGCAGACCCGCATGAAGAGGGTAAAAAACTATTGCGGAGAAAAGTTGGCCATATTAATAAATGATATGACAGCTCCTTTAAAATTAATGTTACGATCTTTATTAACAGCCACTATTCGTTTAATACTAGCAGCAGCACAGCCAGGGAAGCCAGCAATTTACACGACACTCAGGGATACACGTTAAGCACGCATTGCTAGGGTTGCCACTTGTCACGCATTTGGTGTGACATTCATGCTTTTTGACTCACACTCACGCAAGAAATCTTACGGCAAATCTACATTATTCCATTATAAACCTAAAATTAGCTACATTAAAAGGTTTGGGGTAGTTGACAAACCTTGCTGACTATTTACAAGGTTATGAAGCTGTTACATACACATAAATGAGTGTGCAGACTTGTCTCGAATTGAAAATCTCACGCCAGCCAGCTGACCAAAGTTGACAACCCTGCATTGCACGGCACATGTTACACCGTTCCGAGATTTACAATTAGCATAAATACATGAGTACACATTCATTTAAACTATATACAGTTGCGTGAGGTGCACGGCATGCCAGTAACTGCAAACAGTGTTGCTAATCAACCCCGTGGTGTTACATTATGGCAGCCAGTTTTGGACAGAGGTTGGGATCACTGCTCATGTGATGTCGTATTGCTAAAATGACATCAATTCCATCAATTACATTTGAATTACAGTATGCAGCCACCTTTGGCCAGCAGGCCGATAATTTACATCATCTGCTGTTGTATGTGTACGATGATTTATTAATTCTAACCCCCGGATATAAAACAACCCTAGCTTGTTTCGAATTTTGGAGGGAATACCGTCTATTCCGATCAATACGGTAAGTCAAAATGCTTCGTATTTTTGTCTAGACTCCAAATATGAGACGCCATCACTTTTTCAGACATATTTCTCTTATAATCAGGCCAACACAGTACTTAACTACATAGAGTATTGAGAGGCAGAAAGCATCAGGTGTGGCCCATCAAGGCCATGTGAGGAAACAGACAGGAGGGTCAGGCAGACGAGGTGGGCGGGATGTGACACCCTGAAAATAAACTATAATATTTATTCAGCACGTTGCTCTCAGCTCCTTTTGTTGAGCGCATGAATGAGTAACGGCATCTAATCTTCTGCAAGCCGGCACTAATGAAAGCTTTGCCCACTGGCAAACACAGATATTACAGTGAATATGCAGGCTTTGCAGATAACAGGGACCCGTAGAGTCGAATAGCTTTCTTGAGGGACAGGGACTCAAACATGATGCAGGACAACATCATTATGCATGTGTTTTAGAAATCTTTTTTTTTTTTATCTCAATCTTTGTTTTGGAAGGTAAACAAAATGTTTTATCATATATCTTGAAAGTTACCACATATATGCGTCATTAAGTCGATAACAGTGTTCTTGGGTAATGTAAGGGAATTCACTAGTATAAGAGCCATGCAAACCATAATTCATTCCTGCCCTCTCACACACATACATTCCCCTTTTACAAACATATATTCACCTTCCACATATATACATTTTCACTCTCATAATAATGACAATTGATACTTTTATTGATCCCCGTGGGGAAATTGCCTTTATGCCTCTTTCAACTTGCTCTTTTGTCCACGTAGGGCAGCCACCTGTTGGGGTGCCCAGGGAGCTGGGGACCTGCAGATGTGCTGAGGCTGGGTTTGAACTGGTGACCTTCTGATTACAGTTAGCCCAGTGCGCCACATGCTGCCCCCTAAAAGGGGTTTGCAGGCAGCCACATGCTCAGCTCACATACATACCTTCTCCTTTCACATACATATATTTCTACTCACCGACTTATACAGTACGTGTCACACTCTTATATACATATATTGCCACTTTCACATATGTATTTAATTGACACTCACATTCATGTATTTTGTCTCATTTTTATTGATATCCAAGACTTTCACTGACACAGGAAGTTCTGCCTTAAGGAGGAAGTCACTCTCAAACCAGGAAATACATGTGCAAGACTGGCTCAGCTTATCCTAACCTGATATTAAATAGCAGAACTACACAATGAAGCTATTCACAGTCATCCTGTTTTCTTTTCAAGTGCAGTTTTTAATTTTGGGAGCAAGTTCAATGAAAATGACATTAGACATTTTACATAATGTATTAGAATGTATTGAACACATACAAAGAGAAGCTACAGATTGTGTATCAGAGACTGTATGGAGAACTTTGTGATCACATTCAAAACTTATCTGGATTTCTGTCAATCTGTTCCTGATTTGTAGAAGTACATTAGAGGAGTACATTAGAGTCCTTGCATGGATGTTTTCATTTTTTTTTTGCAGACTGCTTATTTAACCAGACAAAAAACCAGGTCTGAAAACATTTATATCCTGTTGCCTCCACCTGTCATAACTGGACATCAAGGCAGACCTTGATACAGCATTTCAGGAGGGCAAATCACTCATTTAGTATTCCTTGGAATGAACTGGCAAAGCATTGCACCATGCTTAGGAGTAAAAGCTGTTGGACTCTTTACCAGCACAGAACCGGCTTGGTGTTCAGCCACTGACATATGCGGCACTGTCCAATGACAGCCTGCCCAGAGTTGTTTGTGAAATTCTTAAATCTACCACAAATGCAGGTTGAATGCTATGTGTTTCGGAGCTTGAGGTCACGTGGGTTATGGCAGCCATCAGCCAATGGGGCAGCGGGTAGAGGTAAGTGCACCCAGCTGAGGCATTTTCAGCACCGGGACAGCAGATCATGTCATAACTGAAGGACATAAGACAAGCAGACCATCTTGACACACATAGACCAGAGTACCTATACCCTTTGTAGCCAGCATGGTTGTCTGATGGTCTATCCGTAAACGGCGCCCCACTGGTAAGTACGGCACCTTTCTATGGGCTTCTAGGACAGTGGCATTATCCCTCAGCAGCAGACAGAGTTCGTGATGCAAATGCCACAGTCCATTTAAACCTTGTCTGGGCCCAATATGGCACCTAGCGCATAGTCTGATGCGTCCGTGGACACTTCAGGATGCAGTGTGGGGTCAAATAGTGCTAAAGCCTGGCTATCCACCAACAGTTTCTTCACTGCATGAATGAAAAGCCTGTGCATTACGCGTATCTGTCCACTGGAAAGCACTGTCAGTCAATCTCAGACATGCATGCATAGGTTCCACCACAGTAGCATGGTTTGGCAGAAACTTGGCGCAGGAGCATCAGCATTGGCCTGTATACGTCCTGTGTCCAGAAGAAGACCATCGGCTGAGACAATATGTACTAGGAAAGGGAGACTGGCTGGGCGGAAACGGCACTTCTGTTCATGAAGCTGCAGGCCGGCAGACTTCAAGCCATGTAAGACAAGGGCCTTGTGAGTAGGCATCTCCCAGCCATGCACTATGATGTCACCCAAATAGTTCTCTGCCCATGACAGATCAGCGAGGACAATGCTAGTCATTTTCTGAAATGCAGCCGGTGCTGAAGCCAGTCCATTGGGTATATGGCAGAAATGGAACAATCCGTCATGGGTGATGAATGCTGTGAGGTCGCTACAGTCTTTATTCAAAGCTACTTAGTAATAAGCGTTGGTCAGATCAATTGTAGCCCTAAGTCCCTAGTGTGTTCCCCTGCTCCCCAGGACGCTGCTTAGCTGTATGGGTTGAGTGAGCAGCTCTGAAGCTGATACCCCTCTAGTCCAAGGCTGACCTGAGGCCTGCCTCGCTTTCTGTTTTATTTATTGGGTATTATTTTATCTGATCCTATCTGACACACAGCTATCAAATTTTAAAAAGCTGCTCTTTCATGTTGGGTTGTTGTCTGTTAAGGGAAACATTTCCATGTTTTTTTTTTGGTTTACTCTACTTGGTAAATGTGAAGTTTTGATTGAATCCCAATTACTTTTGTCTTTTGTTGTCAGCTGATTTTTATTCTGTCCTGTATTTTAATATTTTGCTCATTCATATGGCCAGTTAAATTGGGCAATTTAGAGAGACTCTTTCAGCTATTCCACATGTATTTGGATTGTGGGGGGAAACCAGAGGTAACCATAGAGACTCCAAATTCATGGCTAGGTGTAGGAATTCAAACCCGCACCCCAGGAGGTATGCGAGCACTGTGGTTGCTGTAAAAACAATAGCAATGTAGGAGCAATAATGATTTGTAGTGTTATAGTTTGAAATAACCCTTTAAGCTCGCAATCTAATTGCTAATATCTACACAATGACTGGTCTGAGATTCGAATAATTCCCATAATAATGAAAAGGTGGTCGGCTAATTTTTGTCTTATACTGTATGTTGAAACCCAGACAGGCTGCAGTGTTGCGAACAAAACACAAAGTGTCCAATCAATTTGAGGTCCACTCGGAGACATTTAAATGAATCACTATATGCATTTATTGAATAGCATGCATTGTAGATTTATTGTAGATTTATTATGCTGTTTCCACACCTCTTCATGTGCATCACACAACTGTAGCAAGACCCACTTGATTGTTGCCCCTGTCAAAGATGGTGTAGAACTCTCTGATGAAGACGTCACCCAGGATCCAGAGCTGGCTGCTGCCACCATCCTCAAGGCCAAGGGTGCAACCATCAGACTAGAACGGAAAAGTCAGCATTAATTATTCATCCAGCTTTGTGTGACTCGGTTCTTCATTATTATCTTTAATTTAATGCATATTATGAGATGAAAAAGGAGAAAAATGTCATATTGCTGTAGCAGAAATGTGGGAGTAATGAGGGAAATTCCTTCCCTGTTCAGCCAATCAGCTCTGCTCTCCATCTGAATTACATCACTAACTAATGTGTGATTAGTGGAACGACACAATATAACATGGAAAAATATTCTTGTAGGAAAAAACATGCAGAAGAAAGGTAATAGACTTTTCTGATCTCTGTTCCTTGTGCTGATGCTTGAATAGCATATAAAACATATTTGCGTGCAAAGTAACTGTTGTATTGCATCAGTTGTGACACACCGAGATTTCTATTGCAAACCTGGCAGTATGCAGTTTGCAGATGTTCCACTATCACTCACATCACAGTTATATAAAAATGAGACAGTGAAGCGAAACTCTAGTCATGTGACTCATACCTCAGAAACATAAGCAGATGGGGGGATGGTGAAGGATTGTCCATTGAGGACAAAGGTCAGGTCAGGCATAGATTCAACACTGCTGCAGTTCACAAATGCCTTTGGGACACAATTCCTCGTGTTAGTTCTATGCATTCTGCACTGTCTGAAGGTCAAAACAGAACAAATAAAGCTACTTACATCTCCGTTTTGATCCTCAGAAGCTCCCAAATAGGACAGGAGGTTTTGAATGTCACTGCTTGGTCCAACGATGCTGGAGGTGCCTGTATCCACAATAGTCTGGCAACCACCAGCGCAAGCGACAGTCTCTCCATTGCTAGTCACACTGCAATGGGGAAAAAGGCTAGTTGACCGTAGATGAAGACATAACAGCCATTGATGAGGCCAGCTCAGCTGTTGACAGATATCTATCTTCCAAGACTGTAGAGAGAATGGTCTTTAGTAATGATTCAGTCATCAGCAGGGTTGCTCTTCCCCAGCTGCTGCCATACCTGAGAGAGATTCTTCTCTATGTTACTTACTCTTGCATTTCTCCTTTCAACTGTTTTCCAGGAATTTTACACAATCGTCTTCTTTACTGGGGACAGGGTCATTTGACGTTTAATTTTAATAATGTGGAATTAAAGTAAACTTTTAGCACAGATAATTCTGATTGTCCTAGCATTGCATGATTTCTTGGTAAGCTGACTATTTACTAGACATGTTCATCCAAAAATAATTACAGCAGAAGGTTGCAATTTACATGCACTTCCTGACACTTGAACCTGTGACCTTTGTTTTAGCGGGACAAAGCTCTAGCGGGAAGCTACATGAGCTTCACATAATTTGTAACCTTAACCATTTTCAGATGCCAGAATGATTTGCAGCTTAGTTGAAGATTCCTGATTGGATTTGTCATTACATGAATATTGTATGGGGGCATGGATGTGGAAAGGCTTGTGACAAGAACATTCATTAAATTAGTCTCCTTTTACTTCTTTCCATTTAACAATGTGATTTCAAGGAGCAGCCAGGCACTGACCTGGTCATGTTGACTTGCCAGTAGTACTCAGAGGACACTGGAATCCATGAGATGGAACCCGTGTAATATGACGAGTCAATGCCTCCAAAAATCACCACGCTGCCTTCTTCGGAATTACTGAAAGAGTGACATCAGCTTTAGTGACTTGGTAACTTGGCAGCATAAGTTCATGGATAATCGATGGATGGTCTGGCCCCACCTGCTCAGGTAGATGGAGAACAGGTCCTGAGAAACCAGCTCCTGGGTCATCATGTTGTCAAAGACCGGGGTGGCGTCTGAGGCAGCACATTCGGGGTATGCGAGACCCAGGATCCCATCAGCTGTCATGTAGTTCATAAAGTCGGCCTCCGTCTCACTCAGACCAAAGATCTGCTGGCTAATGGAGATCCCGCCAACCTATGGCAGAAAAAAAAACCAGAATATTATCATCGTGGGGGAATTTACTTACTGTGTAATATTAATATAGAAATATACCAGGCTCCATGCACATGGCATCATTGTTGCAGGTCTGATATACCAATTTTGCCCTGATCTGTCACAACAACGATCAAGTTTCAGATGACTGGCTTGCTTTAGGTCTTGTTAAAAATGAAAAAGGTAGCTAAAATGACAAAAAAGGTACCAGCAAACCTTTTTATGGTATGCCGGTATTCATTTAACAAAGGGACAGTGGTATATGAGATGGATTGTGGTATAATTCCTGCAAGTCTCACCTGAACTGTATCGTATCCCAGGACCCCTGTCATGCTTCCAGTGCCGTATTCAATTGACAGCGTCTGGTTGGTGGACTCATAGGTAGAAGACTGCTCAGGATCAAATTTTGTGTGGGTGGCTAGAAGGAACATTCAACGGAAGTCAGTGAATGATCATTAGAGAGTGGGGTTTCTAACCTACAGTTCAAATTCTCGAGGGGGTTTCAATTCAACACTTGAACACTTATATCCTCGAGGTGTCATTTCTAATGTAACTGTTGTATTTCTAAGGATCAATTCCCTTTAAGAGGCGATAACTACCAAAAAAGGAATAGGAGCTCCAAATTTAGCAGAATGCATTTCCACATTTCATAAATCAAATCATGCCCACTGTCCATAGGCTCTATTTAGCACTTAGAGACACCTAAAATGCGGGCAGTGGTGGCCTAATGGTTAGGAATATGCACTTGTAATTGAAAAATTGCTGGTTTGAATCCCCAATCAGCAAGGTACCACCCCCAATCACTGCTCCCCTGGTGCTGAATTAGCTGCCCCTACTATGTCATGATGTCACATATGGGTTAAATGCAAAGGACACATTTTGTTGTAGTGTCAACAATGATCACTGACCACCAAATTCTAAATTGTTGGGTTGTGCTTTTGCTGAATCCATGCCTGATGTCTAATACCCCTGTAAGATAATCTGCTGGCCATACAGCCTCTGATAAAGAACTGACCCTCCATGTCTTGAATACTGAAGCTTAGCTATAACATTAACCCCGACTCCCAACAAGTGCAATGGCCCTCACTCACTGCAGGCTTGGCTGGAACAGTAGGTGGAGGGAACCCACAGGTTAGCAGAGCCAGTATCAAAAATGACTTTGAAGGACTGGGCTGGAGTTCCAATGGAGATCTCACCATAATATGACAGCTGCATTAGCAAAGGAATATGGCAGATGTGTTTAGCAGAACATAAGTTAAATGCCTTTGAAATCCATGGACAGAATGTTCACAGAGAGGTAAAATGCAGAATACATTGAACATTGCATTTTGAATCTCCAAAATTTAACCAGAAATACACTTTGTGTCATAGCATTTATACAAAGATTGCCAGAAGGGAATCTCAGTTTTACTTACATCAGCATCATTAGTCATAGATTCAGTGCCAACTGCAAAGCTGCTGTCAAACTTGGCCATGGGGTTGTAGGGATACAATTGCCTGAAGAGTTCCCATAGACCATTCTCCTTCATTTTTTGCCTCACGGTCTTCCCCTTTATCAGGGGAATCCTGTAGGAGCATCACAGACAGAGTCTTTCAGATAAACCCTTAACCAACTGATAACCCTTCATCAACTCTGGTTTCCTGTTTGTAGTCTTTTCAGAATTTAAAAGAAAGCATGGTAAGCAATTGAATGAAGGTCTTACTTGTGCAGGCACTCGGAGAGGGCCACCAGGGCGAACAGCAGAAAGGCTAGCTTCATCATGGCTGTGAATACTTGTCTCCACTCAAAGGAAAGCTGTTGGAAAAACTGAAGGTTCAGCTTTTATATACAGGCTCCTGGTTTATTCAGTCTAGCTCTTTATCAGCAGGATAAGAAAACAGCTTTCAATTAGATTGATGATAAAATTCTGAGGTAACAAACGGCAGGAGATTCTAGGATTTACCTTCAAAGACCTTCAAAAGATCTTGTGTAAATGCAGCATAAAATTTGTGTGTTTTTGTGACGTTTGAGTGTGATACTATGATGGAGTGATTGGTGTAATGAGAAAACTTAAATGTTTTATAAGAAGGTGGAGGCTATTTTGGAGTTTTTATTTGCCATTTGTAAAAGGCAAATAAGAATCCATTGGTTTTTTGTTTGCTTTACAGAAGAGCCACTCTTTTGGGGTCATAGCACTACGTCAGGCGAAAAATAAATATGGAAAACAATGCGTACTTCAAAACATAACATGAACTCACATGAACTCATATGAAACCTCAATCTCCCACCATAAAGTTTAGAAAGTTTAACTATGTTCTAGAATGATACCTGTGTATGGATCTTGACAGTTTTAATATCTGAAGCATAGGTATACTTTGCTTACATTCCATAAAATGTAGTTAGATTTAACCATGTCATCAAGGATATGAATTTTCATACACTGGCCCCTGCTGTACATGTATGGAGATTGCATGTACTCCCCATGTAATTTTGTGGGGGTGCCCCCACAGTCAAAAAGCATGCACAGGTGAAATGGAGTTGCCAAATTGTTCATAGGTGTGAATGTGTGTGTGAATGGTGTGTGTGTGTGTGTGTGTGTGTGTGCATGCACGCACGTGAGTGGGTATACCTTACCTTACTCAATTTAAAAAAAATCTGTGACTGCAGTGAAAAAGCTAAAAATGCAAAAACTCTTGTATTTTGCTTGGTTACTTATGGTTATGGTTAGGGCTGGGTAGGGGTTAAGGTTGTCATAGTTAGCGTTAGCATTTTTCCTATAGAAATGAATGAGGGGTCCCCATAAGGATATGTTTACTCGACATGTGCGTGTGTGCCTTGCAGTGTCCTGGGTTATTCCTTGCCTTGTACTAATAGCTTTCAGGATAGACTTGGGTAGGACAAGCAGGTAAGAACGATGAATGGATGGATGTATGGTATTATTAGTCCAATCTGTACTTAAATTTGAGAACATGAGCAGCAGCTAACTCTAGTGAACTATAGTAAGTTAGTTTCAGTAAAAGAGCTTAAGTGGAGTTGTATGCCTTGTTAGTTGTCTCAGTTTTTGCCTCAGTTTTTATGATGCCAATTTGCATATACTCCAGAATGTTATGAAGAGTGATCAGATGAATTGCAATTAATAGCAAAGTCTCTCTTTGCCATGAAAATGAACTTAATCCCAAAAAACCCATTTCCACTACATTTCAGCTTTGCCACAAAAGGACCTGCTGACATAATTTCAGTGATTCTCCCATTAACACAGGTGAGAGTGTTGATGAGGATAAGGCTGGAGTTCACTCTGTCATGCTGATTGAGTTACAATAGCAGACTGGATTCTTTAAAAGGAAGGTGATGCTTGAAATCATTGTTCTTCCTCTGTAACCATGGTTACCCACAAGGAAACATGTGCAGTCATCACTGCTTTGCACAAAAAGGGCTTCACAGGCAAGGATATTGCTGCTAGTAAGATTGAACCTAAGAACTTCACGGAGAGAGGCTCAGTTGTTGTGAAGAAGGCTTCAGGGTGCCCAAGAACGTCCAGCAAGTGCCAGAACCTTCTCCTAAAGTTGATTCAGCTGCGGAATCGGGGCACCACCAGTGCAGAGCTTGCTTAGGAATGGCAGCAGGCAGGTGAAAGTTCAGTGAGTGTCAAGAAGGGCAGCAAAGAAGCCACTTCTCTCCAAGAAAAATATCAGGGACAGACTGATATTCTGCAAAAGGTACAGGGATTGGACTGCAGAGGACTGGGGTAAAGTCATTTTGATGATGAATCCCCTTTCCGATTATTTGGGGCATCCAGAAAAAAAGATTGTCCAGAGAAGAAAAGGTGAGCACTACCATCAGTCCTGTGTTATGCCAACAGTAAAGCATCCTGAGACCATTCATGTGTGGGGTTGCTTCTCAGCCAAGGGAGTGAGCTCACTCACAATTTTGCCTAAGAACACAGCCATGAATGAAGAATGGTACCAAAACATCCCCCAAGAGGAACTTCTCCCAACCATCCAAGAACAGTTTGGTGACAAACAATGTCTTTTCCAGCCCTGTGTCATAAGGCAAAAGTGATAACTAAGTGGCTCGGGGATCAAAACATTGACATTTTGGGTCCATAGCCAGGAAAAGGCAGGTGGACAACCAAAAAACCCATAAATTCTGACAAACTCCAAGCATTGATTATGCAAGACTGGGCTGCCATCAGTCAGGATTTAGCTTAGAAGTTGATTAACAGCATGCCAGGGTGAATTGCAGAGGTCTTGAAAAAGAAGGACCAATACTGCAAATATTGTCTCTTTGCTTAAACTTAATATAATTGTCAATAAAAGCCTTTGACACTTACGAAATGCTTGCAATTATACTTCAGTATACCATAGAAACATCTGACAAAAAGATCTACAAACACTGAAGCAGCAAACCTTGTGAAAACCAATACCTTGAAATTCCTTTGCTACTTTAATGCTGAATGATCTTTAAAAATCAAATTACCAAATAGTGACAAATTGGACTCTTTTATATCAACAGCTTTACATATATTTTACTGGGTAAAATACCCTTGTTGTATAATGCTCTGTAATATTTAAATTTCCTTGTCATTTAAATGTGTTATTAAGTATTTTTATGGTTTAGTAAGACTCCATTGCAAAACAAAATGCTGCATGTTAACAATATTTTCATTTGTCCTCCTAGTTGAAATAGTAAATATCTTGTAATCTCCACGCACGCTACAAGCTTTCTGTAAAGTATGTTTAATCTGTCCCTATGAAAAGTTCATATTCCTCTCTGTAAAATGTCATATTTCATCCCTGTGCCAAAGAAGGGAAGCTTCAAAGTCCATAATGCCTGCACATCAGTGTTATCTCATATAATGAAGACGTTTTTTTTTCTAAAGTGTTTAATTGTCATTGTTGACACACCACAGCACACAGTGCACAACAACAAAATGTGTCCTCTGCATTTAACCCATATGTGACAATGTGGCATAGCAGGGGGCAGCTAATTCAGCACCCGGGGAGCAGTACCTTGCTCAGGGTACATCAGTGGTGCCTTGCTGGTCGGGGATTTGAACCTGCAATCTTTCAATTACAAGGGCGCTTCCCTAACCATCAAACCACCACAAAACATCAGTCCTCCCTGCCACATTTATCCCTGCCGTGACCCGGACTCGAACCGGGGTTGCTGCGGCCACAACGCAGAGTACTAACCACTATACGATCACGGCGAGCTACCAGAGGACTTTGGAAGAGAAAGCTCGTTCTCCAAAATCTCATGAGGCTTATCCTAGATGTATTACAGTTCATGTACTAGGCACACATAAGGGTAGCAATCTACATGAACTGCACCTTCATAATGCATTCATGGAACATTCAGTGCACCTTCATAAGGCATTCATAGAACATTCATAAGCAGCATACCGTAACATCCTATCATACCTTAACACCTTTACTATATATTAAAAACAAACATTATACAATTATAATGTTGTTTATTATCATATCATGTTTCTTCTTAATGTATATTAAAGCTGTTAAGGTATACTTACATGTTGCTTATAATATTCAATGAATTCATAATGAAGGTATAGTTACTGTAAAGCATTACCCACAAAAGTGTGCAAGATGCCATCTACTACCTGCTTCAAAGAACTGGCTCATACCTGGACATTGTCACCTGTATCAGTGACGGCACATCTGATGTGGCTTTTATTAACATGAAGGTACATCAATGGACAGAACTGCCACCCTTCCCGTTAACTTTGTACGACTCGAGCTCATGCCATCTTCAAAAGTTCTTCGATGACTCGGTGACTATAAGATGTCCCAGTAGAGGAAGAGAAGAGCATGGAAGTCTGGTGGAAATATTAGTTTGGTGGTGTAAGGAGAAACATCTCAGCTCAATGTCTGAATGACAAATGAGTTGGTCTTCAGGTGAAGAAAAGAGCTGTTGATAGCTGCCACCAGGGCTGTTTTCTTGAGGATACTGGGAGGCTGAAGAACCTTTTAAGGAAAACCAGCTCTATAATAGGACTGAGTTTGCACTTAATATGTGAAGAGTCTGCTGTGGTCCATTTATATATTGTATAAGGAATAATATAATACACTGTACCAGAAACAAATTCCACCTGCCTTGGTCGTGTGGCAAATAAACAATTGACTGAACTGACTTTGAAATGAAGGTTGCGGGGTGAATGGTGTCCATACTTACTCTTTATTTATGATGATAACAGAAATGTTTACATTGAGGAGCCCTTTAATTCACATGATTATTGCCAGGGCTGTAGTACTTGAGTCCAGTCTTTTTTATTGTTTTGGACTTGTCTTGGATTCTTGGATTCCTTAGTACTCGGTCTTAACCATTGGTCTCCCCAAATACTCCACCTGGTCTCGACTGAGTCCAGCTGCATTTAAAAATGTTTTTTCTTCTCAAGTAACTCCTCCTTCAAAACAAAATGATTGATTAAATGAGCTTGTTCCGAAAACAGGCTATTCAGTATATTTGCAAAATATTATACTTCATAATCTTGGGTCTATAAATAATCATCTCCAATATGGTAAAACACCCTTCTCTGAGGTTACATCCTGTTTTGTTTTTGGAGAGTGCTCTGTATATCAAGTGAAATGGCTATACTTATAGTAAATATTACGGCCTAATTTGATCCTTCAGTGTCGTTAAACTGCAATTGCTTTTTTAAGTGCAAAATGATCCTCTTAAAATAGAGATTGTACTGTGTTGCATCACAAAATCAGGCAAAAGCAAACGTTGGGGGGGGGGGAGGGAGGGGACAAAGGAGCTTTATTGTACTTTGGC